TGGGGACCAAGCACAGGAAGCTCAGGTCCCAAGTGCAGCAAGTGCCACAGACAGAGCTGAGCAGGAGAGACAAGGGTGTGTCACTTCGGCAGGGCAGGAACAGCAGGCGGGCGTTACACAGCTGGCCAGCCAGGGCTACACCGAGGCATGACCTTGAGCAGAGTCTGGAGGAGGTAGGAGGAAGCCTGTAGTTCACAGTGAACCCCACATTTTCACAGAGAAGGAGGCCATGCCTGTGGCGAGTCCCGCCTGGCTGTCGGACACACTTCCTCCTCCACACCCGTGGTTCCTGGCTGCCATTGCTCTCCCGGCATCTCTGGTTCTCTGCGTGGCCCCTGCCCTACCCTGTGCTTCCCTGGACGACTACTCAAAGACCAAGGGTGAAACTGGACTGACTTCCCTAGTAACGGAGAGTTTCTGTTATTATCTCAAGAGGAGGACATTGCTGGGATCTCAAGCCAACACCAAGAGGCGGGTTTAACCAGCAGCTTCTGATTTTTGCTAAATGAAAGTGAAAACAGTACAGGAATCTAAGGAAAGTAGAGGAAACTTGAAGGTAAATTAATTTTAACCAGGGTGTCATGACACACATGCCCAGGTTACCCCACTCCGGGTACCAGTGCTCGTGTGTCATTCCAAGGTCCTGGTCTCTGCCCTGAGTGTCGGGCATGTGTCCAAGGGTCCCACAGTCAGCTGCTTCCCTGCATTTTCAGACGCTGAGTCTCCTCCGACAGGCAGCATTATGGGCCTCCCTGTGGGTCCCTTCACAGCAAGAGCCACAGAATAGAGCCTTCCTCCATCACCGCAGAGAGGCCGCCTCCCTTAGGACTGCTCCCTTCGGCGGCAGGCGGTGTGGTCTTCCTGCGACTGACTGAGTGGCCACTCCATCACTCTGTCTGTGCTGAAGGCTGGCAGTGGCGTCATGATGGTCTTGGAAGAGCAGCAACACCAGCATGTTTATATAGAACTAGGGCCACTCAAAAGGTACGCAGAAGCCATCAGGCAACCCTTAATGCTTTTCTTTTTTTGGTACCGGGGATCGAACTTGGGACCTTGTGCTTGTGGGGCAGGCACTGGAACCACTGAGCTAAATTCCTGGCTCTTGTGCTTTTTTAAAAACTATTTTTCTGAATGAAATATATAAGGTTTTGTTTTCTGAGGTTGTTTAGGTGTATGTCCAAAAGGATTTATGTTTTCTTTTCCTCAGTCATTTTACTTTTGTAATCAGAAAATATTCAGGGTATTCTTAGGAGTCCAGTTTCTAACAAAACAAGGCCAGGAGGCCCTGGGAAGCCACCTGCTTGTGGCTGGGAGCCCTTGGGTTCTGGCCACCAGATGGATCATGGATCCAGGGATCTCTAAGTCTGGAAACTGCCCCAGGGTCAAGAAGGTGCTCAGAAACCAGAGCAGCGGGTTATACTTGTCACCTTAGGTAAAACCAGTTCTTCCTAGGCCGGGGATTTAGCTCAGTGGTTCTGGTGCCTGCTGGCAAGCACAAGATCCTGAGTTCATTCCCCGGTACCAAAACCAAAACCAAAAAACCCCAGTTCTTCCTGAAGCCGGGAGTGAGTCTGTGAGGCCTATGTTAAGCTGATTTCAGACCCAGGACTCAAGAGTTCTCAGGAAAAACCAACCGTTGGCTGGAGCCACCACTCAGGCACATTTTATCGGCTAATACATAGGCCTGTTCTTGTCATGCTCAGAGTGGGCGATTTGATTTTTATAAAGAGCTTTTTGGTTTCTTCCTCTCCGATGCTTTGCCTCTTGAAATGGCCACAAGGTGTCCCTTAAAGCCCTGGTCCCTCTGGTCTGCGTGCTGGACGCTGAATGCTTGTCGTGACAGCGGGAGACACAGCCCTGGCTCTCTCGCTCGAGATCCTGGGCTGGCATGGTTTCCCACCTCAGCTGCAATTATGTGCTGAGTTTCCTCAAGTGGACATTAACGGTCCTTCGGAGCAGGTTGTTCATGCTGCACAGAGCCCTTCCCAGAGCACTTGCTCCTCCCTTTCTCTGCTGCTTTCTGCCGGTGCACTCAGCTCACAGGTTTTGGCTGCTTGTGTGAATTTTACCCTCCCGCAGGCCGAAGAACCTTACTCACTTCTCCCTCCACCCTCCAGAAACCTGGGAGCTGGCTGCTGTCGCCTGCTGTTGCTGAAGCACACGGGTCCCTTGCTGCAGGCCCCAGAGTGGGGCTCAGCACCGATCAGTGGGTTCCTGGCTCCCAGGACAGCGATAGTGTGAAGTTGTGTAGCCAGAGAGGAGCCTTACCAGCCTAGCACCTCGTGTAGTTGGCCTGATTTTCTTCCTGAAGACCAAAAAGTAGAAGTGGGAAGCTTTGAGAATTGACTGATTTTTAAGGCCTATTTTGGGATGGCAGGTTTGGCATTTAGGATTAGGTTTGGCTGCAAATACTAGAGATGTAAAATGTCAGCGGCTTAAACAAGAGAGACTTCTATTTGCTCCTCATATGATAAAATGCTACTAGCAATGCCAGCTAACAATTACATAATGCTTATTTTATGCCAGGCCCTTTTAATATACTAACTTATTTAACCCTCATAGCAGCCTCCGACCCTGTACGGATGAGGCATCAGAGCACAGAGGTAAAGCTAATTGCCCAAAGTCGCGTAGCTCTCATGCCTGAGCTGGGATTTCGTCGCTGCAGTCTGAGCCCGTGTCTGCCCGGGACCAGTGCTGTCCTGTCTGACGGACAGACCGCAGGCCAGTCGTGGGTCAGCTCGTGCCACATTGTCCTGAGAGACCCGGGTTGTCTCCGGCCTGTGTGTGTGTTCCTGTCCCTCTTGGATCTCCCTTGCAGTCTCCCGGAACCCTGTGTCCTCCTGCAAGGCCGGTCCTGGAGCAGCTCAGCGTTCCTGACCCGAGAATTGGAGGATGGTGGAGAAAGTGTGGCTGATCCCGCTGTGCAGAAGCGAGCTGGGGCACGCACAGTGGCTGGGGAGCTCTCAGGAGGGCACGGGAAGCAGAAAGAAATGGGGATTCAGAGCCGGGCCTTATGGCCTGGTATTGCTTAACTAGATTAATTATATACATATATCATCATGCACAAAACACTACATAATTTTTTTGGGGGGGGTACTGGGGATCGAACTTGGGTTCTTGAGCTTGCACAGCAGGTGGCGAAACCACTGAGCTAAATCCCTGGCCCTAAGTAATGTTTAATAAGGACAAAAACGAAAGTGATATTTCTTTTTGTTTGTTTGTTTGTTTGATATGGTCTCGCTGTGTGGCCTTGAACTTACTATGTAGTCCAGGCTGGCCTCAGAATCATGGTGATCCTCCTGCCTCAGCCTCATGAGTGCTGGGATTACAGGTGTATACCAACATGCCTGGCAATGAAATGGACCTTTATACATTATCTAAATTCTTAGTTTCTGCAAGCTTTATGTTGTTTTACAAAATCTTTATTCTTTTTTGGTAATAAAAGGCAAGCGGAGTCAATTGTGACTTTTTTCTCCTAAAATATTGTGCATTTTAGAGGACTATAAAAATTATGTTTATTGTTGAAATTCTAAAAAGTCCAGTAAAGCTTAAAGAAAATAAAATCCTTCATCCTGCCACCTGGGGAATAAGCGCTGTAAATCCTGTGATATATTTTTTCCTCTCTGCTTGTATAAACACACATAAATATTCTGTGTACAGTGGTTGAAAGTCTAACAGAAGTAATTCTGTGCCTTAGCATTGACGTTACGCCTTCCTGAAAGCTTCGTGTGGAATATCCACCGAGTGCCTGTTATGTGCTGGGCACTGTGCTCAGTATTAACCTAAAGTGAGACTTTTGGGGCATTCTCAGAGCCACAGCTTTTCTGACGAAGCACCTCACTCTACCCGCAAAAGTTCTGTCTGAACAGGCCTTGATGTTCACATAAGAGCACCTTTTTAAGCAGAACACGAGTCTAAGAGTTGTTCCATGTTGTTGTGTGAAGGCTCAGCTATAGGTCTTAGTAACGGTTCCCATCAACGAAGGGGCCAGGTTCAGAACAGAGCCTTGACCCTAGCACAGGGACTGCAGTGCCACCCTGGGTCAGAGCAGCGCTGTGGGTCTAGGGGCAAAGCTGCCTTTGTGCACATTCAAGGGCTGGAAGGTCTCCTGTGCCCGTGCAGGCACGTGGTGGGCGGTGGGTGCTGGGCTGTCTTCCGGGCTGAGGAGGGCCTGCTCCTCCTGCAGCCGGGGGGGAGGAGCACTGCGTGGTTTTTTCCTTCTTCCCCTTCCATATTTGGGTCTCAGACCAAACCGCTTCTCACCCCTGCTGCACTGTGGGATTTCCACGAGCAGCTTGTACAAGAGGTCCCATGGCTAAGTAAGCTTGGGAAATGTGGGTGAGCCAAGTGGAACGGATTGACTTAATGCAGAAGCCTATGACTTCTCGAGCCCTGAGATGCTCGGATCTTGGCAAATCTCCAAGATGGTGCCGATGTCTTGCAGTGCTTCTCATCCACACCTGTCTACGGAACCCTCTCTTGTCCTTGCGAATTCTGTAGGATCAGTGTTCAGCGGGGCCCATCCTGGGAAATACAGCTCGGTGGCGTTACACATAGGAGCGTTCACAGGCTCGGCTCACCCACATCACCCCGAGGGCCAGGCCTGTGGTCTGCCTGACCCCAGTCAGGGTTCCATCCTCGAGATGAGCCGTGGGGCTCGAGATGGGCCAGCGCGTGTGCAAGATAGCCCGCTGGGTTCCAGACCCCTCCGGCGAGCTGTAGAGCTCGAATGTGAGGCTTGAATTTCCGCTTTCAGAAACGGAATGAACAAGTGCAGAGAAAGGGGCAGGTGCCTGGGCCCAGCGGGGCTGCTGTGAGAAATGCCCGCTGAGCACTGAGGGAGGTCTTGGGACTCCGAGGGACACGCCTGCCCAACCAACAAGGGCAGCGGAGGGACAGGCCCTCGTGCCTTGGCCTCCTGTCAGCCTGTTTCCGCTGGCCTTCTCTCTCTCTCTCTTTCAGATAAGGCCTCTGGACCTTGTTCACCTTTTGTTTTACAGAAGAGGACGTGGAGAACTTCGACGTGACCAACTTGTCTCAGGACATGCTGCGGAGCATCGAGGCCGACAGCTTTTGGTGCATGAGCAAGCTGCTGGACGGGATCCAGGTGGGGCAGCCCTGCCCTTGCGGGGTGCCAGGTGCAGGGCTCCCACAGATGTGGTTCCTTCCTTACAGCTCTCCTGGACTGGCCAGGGCACTGCCCACCACGGCCCCTCCGTTGTGTCTGGTCCGCTTCACGGTGCTCTGGCGTCCCTGGGACTTGGGAAGTCCCCAGGCCTCGCTGGCTGTGTCAGAGAAGGCCCCTCCCTCCTGCCGGATGCCTAGAGCCCCATGGCTTTGCTTCACAATCCGGGGCTCCCTCAGGCTTTCCCGAGACTCCTTCCTCCCCAGACACTGGCCAGCAGTCAGCATTGGGTTTGGAAAGAGAACCTATACTTGGGCCCGGGATTTAGCTCAGGGGTTCTGCCACCTGCCTCATAAGCGCAAGGTCCTGAGTTCGATCTCCAGTACTGGAAAAAAAAAAGAGAACCTGTGCTTCCTAAATGTTTCAGTGAACTGGAGGGGCAGTTGCTCGGCGGGCCGGGCCCCTGCTCACCTGCGCCCTGTGTCTTTTGCAGGATAACTACACCTTCGCACAGCCGGGGATTCAGAAGAAGGTCAAGGCGCTGGAGGAGCTTGTCAGCCGGATTGATGGTAGGTTCAGAGGAGCAGGACTCCTCTGGCGGTGGCCCGGTGCGATTGTGACCCAGGACAGCAGTCCTCGGGGGACCCCCAGCTCCCTTCCTAGCCATAACCCTTTCTGGGGTCTCCCCACTATTGGCAGGAAGGTGAGGTGAGAGTGCTGCAGTCACCTCAAGTCCTTTCTGTCACCAAGCTCTCCTGTCTGACCCCTTCGGCATCCACGTTCTCTTCACTCTGGAGCCTCTTGTGTCTTCCTATTGCCTTTTTTGTTTTGCTTTTTGTATTTTTGAGACAGAGCCTCACTGTATAGTCTAGGGTGACCCTGAACTCACATGTAGCCCAGGCTGGCCTCTAACTCACAGTGCTCCCCCTGCCTCAGCCTCCTGAGTGCTGGGATGACAGGCACGCACCACCACCCCTCGCTTGCCTCTAATTTGTACCCCTCCTGCCTCAGCCTCCAGAGTGCTAGGTGGCAGGCATTTGCACTGCGCCTGGCTCCCGTTGCCTGCAGCACCTTCTCCTTCCTGTGGTGATGGAACTCAGAACTCCTGGGTGACACAGCACCCTCAGGCCTGGCTGACACCTGGCAGGGTTCCCCAGCTTCCTGGGCCCCTTGTGCTGGAGGCGCAGAGGCCTGAGGGATCAGGAGCCCTGCAGGAGCGGAGTCCCTGGCTCCTGCCTGGAGTTGTGGGCTGGCAGAACTGAAGGGCGGCTCAGGAAGCTCTGTGGTTCACTGAGGCCAGGCAGGAGCATGGGGTGGGGGCAAAGGCCTGGGGGGGGGACGGCCCCCGGGCGGCCGAAGCTTCTTCAGGACGCTGCCCGGCCCCACACTGTCTCACAAGCTGCACTGCCCGCAGGGCCTTCCCGGAACTTCCTGCTCCACCCTAGCGAAGCCCTTTGTTCCCCCACACACGGAAGTTGTCTCTCTCCCCATTCTGCCTTCCTGAAACCTCCCGTGATCTGTCCCACTCACTCCAGCTTCCTTCCACGACTTAAAGTTTGGCGTCCGGCCTCATTTGTTCCCCACAGTCCTTTCCCACTCGCTCCTGTGTCTTGTCACCCGACCCTCCAGGGTCCCTGGTGTCGCGCCCAGGGCCTGGGCGAGGTGCTGGCCGCCCTCCTGCAAGGCGTGGGTTTGGCTGCCAAGGCAACCATCACTCGGGCTCCAGAGTGCAGAGGCTGGGGTGTCTGCCCCATCCTTGGTTTTTTCTGCCCTTGCAAATACCACAAAAATGAAAACCTAATACAAAAAACCTTTAGGTTAGTGGCTTTACATACCCTTTATTGTTACTTTGCATATTAGCAGTAATACTTCCATTATGGAAATTCAGGCAGTGCAGAAGATGCACAGTAATTAGAAATCCTCCCCTTTACTTAAATTCTGCTCCTCAGAAATAAATGTTATTAACGATTCTTCTTTCAAAAACTGCATCATTGCCCTGGGGGGTAGCTCCGTGACAGGGCGCTTACCTAGCACATGCAAGACACTGGTTTGGTTTCCAGCATCACAAAAGGAAAAAAAAAACCCACAAGGAAAAAGCAAGAACAGAGAAAGACAGGCCTCCCAAGCACTGTTCAGCCCTGGTTGCCGTGCGGCTTCCGTAGTTACGTCCTCTGTCAGTAGGGAAGAGAGGCGCCCTTGCTGGCCGCTGGGCTCTTCCACCGCAGTGTTTAAGTCCTCGCCAGAAAGGGCTGCAGGAGCAGTCCCTCCCCTGGGAGAGCGGCCAGGGTGACCTCTAGGTTCTCCTGCCGGCTCCTGCCCTGACCAGTGATGAGACGGGCAGCCTGGGGACCCTTGTGTTGGAGTTGCGGGGGCCTCAGGACTGCCTGTGCGGTGTCGCCTGGCTGCTCCCCAGGGCCAGGGGCTGTAAGAAGTGGAATCTGCCCTTTGGCTCCTGACCAGGGTCCGAGCCCTGGGGCTGTGCCTTGGGCCAACCACACCTCCTGTTCCAGAGCAGGTACACAGTCACTTCAGGAGGTACGAGGTGGAATACCTACAGTTCGCCTTCCGGTGGATGAACAACCTGCTCATGCGGGAGCTCCCTCTGCGCTGCACCATCCGCCTGTGGGACACCTACCAGGTACGGGTGGGTGTCCGGCTCCCTGCCCCACCCCCACCTGCATATGTGTCTACCTTGAGGTCCCGGAAGCTGCTTCGCCGAGTCCTGGCAGCCTCTGTGAGCCCTGCTGTTTCAGGGCTGCCCTGCTGCTTCCCCTGCCAGAAGGCAGCACAGGGCCCAGCCAGTCCCAGCCTAACTGTCCTCTCCCTCCCCAGTCCGAGCCTGAGGGCTTCTCCCACTTCCACCTCTACGTGTGCGCCGCCTTCCTGGTCAAGTGGAGGAAGGAGATCCTGGATGAGGAAGACTTCCAGGTGAGGTGGGGCAAGGGTGCTCCGGGAGGCCCCTGTCCATCGGCCAGAAGTCCCAGAGTCCAGAGCTGGGACGCGGCCCGGACAGGAGGCTTCCTTCTGCCAGAGTTCAGGTGCCAGCGGACAAGGCCATGGGAATAGTAAACTTAAAAGAATGTTAGGCAGTGATGAGAAAAATTTTTTTTTGGTTCTTTGAGACAGAGTCTCATATAGTTCAGACCCGCCTTGAACTCACTGTTTAGCTCAGGCTGGCCTCGAGGGATCCACCTGCCTCAGCCTTCCAAATGCTGGGATTATAGGCTTGCACCACCACGCCCAGCTAGAAATTTCTCAGAGGTAGAGAGAGCAAGGTAAAGGAATTATTAGGTGGTAGGGAAGGGACAAACTGCAATTTCAGATGTAGTCAGGATAAATTCACTGAGTGGGCGGGTACACTGAAGGACAGGCGGGAAGCGGAGGATGGCTATGCGGAGTCTGGGGCAGGGTGTGGAGCAGAGGGAACAGCCGATGCTGGGGCCACTTAAGTGATCTTGTTGGTGACACTGTGGGCTGGAGCAGCAGGATCCGGGGGGGGACAGGAGGAGGCGAGGTCAGAGAGGCTTCGAGGGACCCAGTCCCAGAGGCCTCGTTAGCCACTGTAGGGATCCAGCTTCTGCCCTGAGTGGAAGGGCCCCTGGGAGGGCCCTGAGGCCCCATACTGCAGAGTCTGTGCCTCGAGGTGTGGACGGGGCTGAAGCAGAGATGGTGCCCCACACTTCGGGTGGGGTGGGGGCAGCACTGGCAGCTGTGTGGGAAGCGCCCACTCTGGGCCTGTCCTGCCAGCAGAGCTGAGGGTTTCCTGATGAATCGGACGGCCTGGCTGACCAAGCAGGGCTTGGAGCGGCTGCAGGGGATCGGCCGTGAGGAACCCAGGGTTTGATGTTGTGCATTGCACGTGAAATGCCATCCCCTCCGACGGAGACACAGACAGCAGATCGGGTTAGAAGCAGGGTCAGAGCTGAGCACCAGAGGGGGGCGCTTGGGCCGCTGATGCCCAGACCTGGAGGAGACTGAGGAAGCAGTGTGGGCAGGGGAGCGTGAAGGACGATGGCAGGGAGAGGAGGGGTGGGCAGGGAGAGGAGGGGTGGGCAGCGAGGTGTCCCTGGGACCCAAGCCCAGGGGCTCTGGCTCGCCGTGGATGCCAGGCTCAGGCAGGGGATAGGCAGAGCAGAGTGCCGGGCTGTGCGGCCACCGGCATTCCCGGGCTAGGGCAGGGGCGCGTTTGTGCCCACACTGCGGTGCTGGAAGGAGCTCTGTGGCAGAGCTCTCACTTAGCATGCAGCAGACCCTAGGTTCGATCCCCACCACCACAAGGAAAAGCCTTTTCCACACTTCCTACGTTTCTGAACTGAGGGCATTTTTGTTTGTTTTTAATGGACACATATATGTTTATTTAAAAAATTGTTTTTACCAAGGATAGAACCAAGAGCCTTCGCACTCGCACTGAACTACAGTCCCAGCCTTTTTAAAGTTTTGAGACAAGTTCTTGCTAAGTTGCCCAGGCTGGGGTCAAACATGGAACCCTCCTGCCTCAGCCTCCCAACATGCTGGGATTACAGGCCTGTGCCACCATGCCCAGCTTGGGTGTATATAGCTCCTCTTAAAAGCAGGGGAAAGGGCAGAGAAGGCTGAATATTTTTCTGAGTTCTAACTAACAGCATAGATGTCGCTAAAATCAGCCGCAACTCCATGTGACCCGAGCAGTGCCGCCCTGTATCTGGTGCTAAGGGCGAAGGAGTGGATGCTGCTCGGTAGGTGACAGAGCCAGGCCCCAGCTCCCCCGAGGAGGGCTCCGGGGTTGCAGCGGGACCTCGGCCGATGATGGGATCCATGGCTCCTGCCTCCAGGCAGCGTGGGGACGTCCCAGGGTAAATGAGGACAGGACCAGGGCTGCATGCCAGCAAGCTGTGAACTCTGATGACGGTAAGGATGGCATCGAATCCAGTTGTCAGCCTGCCCTGCAGCAGGCAGTGTCCGGAGCGGGGATAGTCCCAGAGGACATCCAACCTGTGCTCAGAAAGCTGCTCCTCAGCGTGTCTCGCAGCCGATGACCTGCTGGACCTGCGGCCTTTGGCCAGGAGCCCGAAGAGTAACCCCAGGCTTTCTGCCTGCTGCACACACGCAGCTGACGACTCGGGGAGAGTCGTCCCCCTTTCTTCAGATCAGATACAGCGGCCGATGGAACTGCAGGATGGACAGGGCCCCCTCCCCCATTCTAAAGTTCTGTGAGCATGAAGCGAACACTGAAGAGTTCAGCAGCCTCCAGAAGGAAGCCACGTGGCGGTGTAAGGGACAGGGCTCGAGCATCGTGTGCAAGGGGGCGCTGAGGCAGGCCTGGTGGTCTCACCACCAGGGAGCCCAGGTGTGTGCTCCGTTGTTCAGTAATGAAACGGCAGCCTCGAGGGTGTGCTTTCGGCCCCGTCCCCAGCCATGGCTAAACCTGGAGCATGAGGGGAGACAGGGAGAGGTTTGGGGCCAGCTGGCCTCGAACTTGCTCCTATTCCAGACTGGCAAGGGCAGAACACACCAGCAAGACAGCCCTTGGACCTGGGACTCGGGGAAGCCTTCTCAGCGCAGGGCGAGGTCGGCCCGAAGGATAGCTGGTCACGAGTGAGCCCTGGCCCTCGGGTCAGTGCGGCCAGACACTGAAGAGAGCCAGGCAGAGGGGGCAGCTCCAGCCCGGGCACTGGCACACGGCATGCAGAACATGCTCCAGGGCAGAGGTGATCACAGGAGCTAGGGCCCACTTGAGTCCAACCTCCAACCTCCAGGGTGGGCATGGAGCAGAGGTCAGAAACCCCAGCAAATGCTGGGTTGCTCTGCCGTCAGCTTGGGACGGGGTCCACAGACACATGGGGCGGTGCCCAGGCCTCAAGGCTCCAAGCTGATTCTCAGAAGCGGGGGGCCTGTGGCCCAGTCGCCAAAGTTCCTTTACACATACAAAGGGGAGAGGCAGGGAGTCGGGGCGCAGCTGCTGATCAAACCAGTGTCTGCTGGTCTCGGGGAGGAGGCTTGGCGAGGTTGCCACGCTGCAGGGCTTTTGTGGGGGACAGGTCAGAGCTACTAACAGATGCACCATAAATGAACGCCTTGAGTCAGGTGCCCCACACGGCTTCTGCAGGAACTCAAGGTGCAGCTGTGGGACTCGGCCCACGCGCAGGCCCTGTCTTCACAGAGGAGCCTCAGTGAGCTGCCAGCCTGTAACCTGCCATAAAAAGGGTCGGAGGAAGCCCTGGACTTTAGCTTTCCACCCAGAGCGGACTGGCTCAAGAAAGGGCGCAAGTCCTGGACACGAACACACAAGCAAGCAGCCCAGGGAGACTGCGCAGCCTCCTTGGAGGGAGCCTTGGCAAATGCCCTGTGTGCCTCGGCTCAGGAGAAGCCGGTGAATACAGTCAGACTCTCAGAAAGTTTGTAGGCAGGGACAGGGTTTTGAAAAGTTGTGGTGGGGCCTGGGAAGATGTTTCGCCACCCCACTGATTCTCAGAACAGAGGAGACCGTGTTTCCAGGCCTGCACGCACTTCCTGGGGGATGCCGGTCATAGCAACTCTGCACACAGAATCTCATTCCATGGTGTGTGCTGTGTTCCACCTTCAGTGCCTAACTATTCCCATCCCACCTTTGGTTGAGCTGGCCCTTACTGCTGAGTAGTTAACCAGCACTAAGATTTCCTGCAAGCAGCCTCTTGTCTGACTTCTTTTCTTCTTGTTTCTTTGACCTCCAGTCCCGCTTGGTTCTCACCAGAGCAGGCAGCAGAGTACAGCTGTTGTGAACAAGGTCCTGAGCCAGACTGGCTGGCTCAACCCCAGCCTCGCACTTCTCCAAGTCCCTTACCCTCCGCGCCTCAGTTTCCTCATCTGTCGAATGGCGGTGGTAACATGCCTCTCCCAGAGTTGATGGGAGGATTAAATGAACTAATACAAAGTACAGGCAGTTAGCGCCCTGTGTGGCGTGCAGCGATCCCCGCCGTGGTGGCTCCTGGTGTCCTGGACATCTCCACTCCTCCTCCCCTTCTGTCAAACATCCCCCCTGGTCCTCCCACGCCCGCCCTTAGCAGAGCCCCCGTGCTCAGCACCACTCACCCTTCTCCTTGGCCTCTCACCTAGTTGGTAGTTTCCAGTCCTCCCAGGCTCCGATTCCTCCTGCTGCCTTGTCCTTCCGATTTGTGGGTTCTCAGCAGGCCGTCTTCTGTACTAGCAGTTTCAGCTTCCCTGTGTGAAAGGCGATTGCCCCTGCTGGTTCACTGAAACCTGCTCCCTAATGCTTGCCCTGCAAGCTGTCTCCTCCTCCTGACGATCTGCTATTGGATTCCATCTGACTATGCCGAGTGCTCCCACCGAACTGGCTTTGTAACAAGTCTTCAGTCGTTCCTTGTCTTGGCAGTCTTTTCTCTACCCCTAGATAAGAGCTCCTGATTTGTGATTAATACCTTTGTTCCCAGCCGTGGTTATTCAATTTCTCCTCCTTTATCCACCTGACGGGGCTTCCCGTTTTTCGCAGCATTGCCGTGGGCAGCGCCGCGGGTGGGGTGTTGCAGTTCCCGGTCGTTGCCACCGGGTGGCAGAGTGGCTCCTTACGGCTCAGCCCCACGGCTGGACCTGGGAATGGGAGATTGGCCTGTTCCGCGGTGGCATTATTGATGAGTTTCTTGGAGGTTTCTAGCAAAGGTAGAAGACTTAGAAGTTATAGGTGGCTCTCATCTCAGTAAGGTATATACTGTCCCAGAGAGCACAGCCCGTAGTTCGTTGTTTTTATCAATTATACAAATGCATGTAACCATCGTAGAAAAATCAGAAAATTTCAATAGAAAAAAACCCTGGGTACCTGAAATATTGTCACGAAGAGGTAAATATTACCCCTTTGTTTTTAAATGATCACTATACTATGTATTTTTGTTTTTCAAACCATTATTCTGAGAGGGGATCTTTGGACTCCACCAGCCATCGGAGTGAGGTACAGAGAAGGTTGGGGCCTCTGTCCTCAAGGCTCCCCAGTCATGGTAAAGAGGACCCCGCCAAGGAGGAAGTTTGTGGGGAGGGAGCAAACTGGGGGAAGAAGCAGGAGAGGGAGGCAAAGGGGCACAGGCCAGGGGTTCACGGGGTATGTCGTGTTCCGAGATCAACATCTAAAACATGTGTTGAGAGGCAGGTGCAGTGGTGTCCTCCTATCACCGGAGCCCAGGAGTTCAAGACCAGCCTGGACAATATAGAGAGACTGCTCAAAAACAAAAAAAATGGGGCCAGAGATTTAGCTCAGTGGTTCCAGCCCTGCTTTGCAAGTGCAAGGTCCTGAGTTCAATCCCCAGCCCCCCAAAAAAGCAACCAAAAAAAAAACCCCTCACAGAACTGTATTTAAAATTATACTGAGGTAGAGGGCTGGGGATTTAGCTCAGTGGTTTCGATGCCTGCTGCACAAGCGCAAGGACCTGAGTTTGATCCCCGGTACCAAAAAAATAAATAAATGAAATAAAATTGGACCAGAGATTTAGCTCAGTGGTTCCAGCGCCTGCCTCACAAGCGCAAGGTCCCGAGTTCGATCCCCGGTACCAAAAAAAAAAAAAAAGAAATAAAATTATACTGAGATAGAAATAATAGTTCTCAGTCGGGCATGGTGTCACATGCCTGTAATCCCAGCACTTAGCAGGCTGAGGCTGGAGGATTACAAGTTTGAGGCCAGCCTGGGCTACATTCCTGTGTTAGTTACTTTTCTCTCATTTTGGAGACAAAATACTTGACAGTTGAAGTTAAAGGGGAAAGGGTTTATTTAGCTCACAGTTTGTAGAGGTTTCAGTCCACAGTCGGCTGGCTCCAAGGCAGAGTGGCACATGGCAGAGGGGCATCACAGAGGAGAAGCAGCTCATGGTGCCCACACGGTAGCAAAGGCAACAAGGAAACCCTAACAGCGTCTTTCTGCCCCTTTTTTCTTATCCAGACTGTAAGGATTAGGGCCATGCCAAACCAATCAGTGTACTGGTTTAATAATCACAGGCCCTTAATCCCAGTATCACACACTCTAGATTCAGCCACCTCTGAAAAAGCCACCTATGACTGCATGAGGCTTTGGGGGACTTCTAGACCCAAACCATAAAAATGCCATAGCAAGAGCCTGTCTCAAAAAAACTAACCTGGGGCCAGGAATGTAGCTCCGTGGTGCTGCCCCTGCCTGAGAAACGCAAGGTCCTGAGTTCAATTTCTGGTTCCTCCCCCCCAAAAAAACCCCAACCAAACAATAAACAAGATGTATTCTCTCTCACATTCTCACCCTCTTTTATTTACTTTTCTTTTTTTGGTAGCACTGGTTTGAAGCCTGGTTGTCTTTTTTTTAATTTTGATTTTGATTAGTACATGTTTGCAGTCCGTAATGATTATACTGATCATGGAGTCGACATTTGTACCTAACACATTTTAATTCTTTGACTTTTTTTTTTTTGTACCAGGGCTCGAACTCAGGACTTTGTGCTTTTGTGGCAGGCACAGAACCCCTGAGCTAAATCCCCGGCAATATCTTAATTCTTTTTAGGTCCCCTTCCCCTCTGCCCCTTTCCCATTTGCAAACTATATTTCCTGTTATTTATCTTTTATTTTGCTCTTTCATTTATTTATACTTTGGGTTTCTCATATAAATGGTTGTCTAAAAAGCACTGAGGCAGACACAGTTGAAGCCAAGAAAGAACTGAAGGAAAGTTGTTACTGTGAGACGCCGATGGATCTCATCAGAGATGTCGGACTTGGCTAAAAGCAGTGTTGGGAAGCGGAACCCACGGGTGCTGGGCTGAGTGAATGCATCCCTGACTGACCGAGTCCCTGGGCTGGTCAGGCGTCAGTGGCGCGTGCTGCAAGGGGCGAGGACCTGGTGGGGTCAGAAGGAAGTGGGTGCAGCGCCCGTGGGGAGGCTGTGGGTGCTGGGCCCGAGCCCTTCCGAACCTCCCCTCCCTGTGGCCTTGCTACCTCTGTGACTCTGGGTGGGTTTTCAGCTCGGCCTGGGGCTTCAAGGAAGCGGATTGCTGCTAACAGGGTTTGTACGATTTGATGAGAGTCCTGGTGGAAGCCTGGGAAATGAGTGTCCTGGAATATATTTTCTGGATGAGTGCTAGGTACTTTGAGAATGTTTGTGTTCTTTGACACTGTAATTTCATTTTTAGGAATTTTTTTAAATTTCTATTAGTACACATTTGCAGTACATAATGATGACATTCCGTTTTTAGGATTTAGCCCGAAGAAATAATCTGAGGTATGACTTTATGCACAAAGATGTTCCTTATAATTTTTTTTTTTTTTGGCACCGGGGATCGAACTCCAGTCCTTGAGCTTGCGCAGCAGGCAGCGAAATCACTGAGCTAAATCCCTGGCCCCCTTATAATTTTATTATACTAAAAAATCAGAAGTAATAAAATGCTCAGAACAGGAGGATTAAATTGTACACCTTACATCACAGAAAATTCTATTGGCCATTGGAAATGTCTGCAGGAGTTTGTAATATTGAAGAACATGCTTATGATAAATGCTAAATAAATTTTACATTAACTATGTAAAAGACGCAGGAAAGAGCTGGAAGGAAACATGCCAAAATGTTTAAACATGGCTTCCTGTTGATTATGATACTATGAGTAATTTTCTGCTCTGTTTTTTATTGCAGAAAACTCCCAGAGTATGTGTTACTCGAAAAAACTACTCTGTCACACTTTACTTAAGTAGAGTGAAGACTTTACTTCAAAAGATAAAAGAGGGCTGGGGATTTAGCTCAGTGGTTTTGCTGCCTGCCTCGCAAGCCCAAGGTCCTGAGTTCGATCCCCAGTACCAAAAAAATATATATATAAACAAATATGAGAAAAGTGACTTAACCACTGTTAACAGCTTATCTATCACTCTGCTGTTCTGAATTATATACATACACATGTACAAATATGTGCATTTTCTTTAAGGTCATGCTATAAATATTTTTCTGCAACCTTCTCTTTTATCCACCTTAAAATGTCTTTGAGATCTTGCCGTGTTGGTCCACACAGACCTGCCCTGGAAGTGCTGCCCCGTCTGTCACAGGACAGGACCCCCGGCCTGCCGGCTGGGCAGGACAAGACCCAACGTGCGTGTTCCCCAGCCTAGGGGTGGGGAGCAGAGTGGCTGGCCGTGGACCATATGCACTTCTTCCTGTCCTTTTCCTTCTGCCGAGCTGGGGTCAAGTCCTTGGCCTTGCGCGTGCGAAGCCAGCACCCTGCTGCTGAGCTGCATCCTGGCCCAACTGCATTTCTGATTTTGATTGGTACAGCCTGCATTTGTGAGGAGGACCTGAAGTTACCCTCAGAGACCTAGGCCCCAGATGATAAGGGCAAAAGTAAGACTGCTGTCTGCCTCCCCAGCACTGAGGGAACAAGTGGAGTGGCCAGGACCGAGGTGACGGGGACTTGGTGTCTCTCTCATTGCTTGGCCTCTTCTTGTGGATTTGTCCTTTGAGAGAAGACAGCTCGCTCAGGTCCATTTTCCAGGGAAGACGGGCCGAAGCTTAGAAGTCGTGTGTGTGTCCTTTGTTGCGGCCCAGAACCGAGCAGGACATGATCTCAGCCGCGGACAGCAGTGACCAGCGGGCAGCTGTGTTCCCGGCAGACCTCACAAGACGCACAGGCCTGCGCCACACTGCGGAGCAGCTGGAATCGGGGCTGTAAAGCAATACGGGTGGCCCCGCCTCTGCTCTGTCTGCCCGGTTGGCCCTCTGCTGCTTTTCTTAGTGACTTGTAGACGCTCCTTACTGGTTATGATGTATATTCACCTTTGCTCTTTCGTAGGTGGCTAAGGATTTCCTCATAGTCAGTTTCCTCTTCTTCTTTTTTTTTTTTTGGTACCAGGGATCAAACTCGGGATGTTTCGTTTGTGAGGCAGACACTGGAACCACTGAGCTAAGTCCCTGGCCCCTCATAGTCAGTTTCTTGTTATTGCTATTACTGTTATAATTAACTATTACAACTATTACTATTATAACTATTACTGTTATAATTAGAAAAATAAGAATATCCAATTCAGAAAGAGAGAGAAAAGAACACGAGGCAGCAGCAACAACATGGGAAACTAAGTTTCAGGGAGAATCTGAACTTTCACATTCATTTTTAGTCTAATATCCTCCTTCACAGGGTGTTTCCAGGGAGCTCTCTTTGTTTTTGTTTTTTGAAATGAGGTCTGGCTATGAAGTCCAGGCTGGCCTTGAATTCACTATGTAGTCCAGGCTGGCTTCGAACTAATGGTGATCCTCCCGCCTCAGCCTCCTGAGTGCTGGGGTGACAGGCGTGCACCACCACGCCCAGCTCCAGGGAGCTTTTTGATGGACCTGGACTTTGAAAGCTGAGTAGGATTTATCAAGATGGAGGAGAAGAAAGGAAAGTGTTCGGTGTAAGTTAATCCACAGAGTGCGCGCAGTTAGGCAGGGCCCAGGTGGTCCTGCAGGGTGAGGCATGTGGGCTGGGGCCGGGGCTGAGGGCAGACACAGCGACAGTGAGGCAGGAAGACTGTGAGTTCAAGGCCAGCCTGGGCTACATGGTGTGACCCTGTCTCAAAAAAGAGAGACAGACAGAGAGAGATATAGTTGGATGATGACTATTTTCCTGTCTTGCAAAAATACACTGTCATTCTCTCTTTTTTTGTTGTTCTTTTTTGGTGCCGGGGATCGAACTCAGGACCTTGGCCTTGTGAGGCAGGCAGCAGAACCACTGAGCTAAATCCCCAGCCTATCATTCTCTGTAATATTTGTAGAGACAAGGGTTAGTGGATCGGAGAATCAGCAGAGCTTCTCACGCTTCCTGTGGTGAATGGGGCCTGTGCATCTGGTGGGGCTGCCCCCGGTCTCTGGGAGGACCTGGTGAGTGGCGAGGTCTGCAGCCTGGAAGCCACACGAGCCCTTTCTTGCGTTCCAGGGACTCCTGATGCTGCTGCAGAACCTGCCTACGATCCACTGGGGCAATGAGGAGATCGGGCTGCTGCTGGCTGAGGCGTACAGACTCAAGTACATGTTTGCTGACGCCCCCAATCACTACCGCCGATAGGTGCTGCCTCCCCGGGGACCCAGACGCCCGTCTCCGATGCAGTCTGGTCACTGTGGCCACCGAGCTGGGGACCCCATGGGAGCCACTCCTGCTGTACAAAGTTACCCGGCCGCCGTGCGGGCCTTCATCTCGCCATCCACCACCGTGTCCACGGCTGTGTCTCGGCCACTGTCAGTATTCCACACCGTGTGCCCAGCCAGGCCCGGGAGAGGACAGAGAGGCGGTGCAGGGCTGTCCCCTACAGGAAGCTGGATGGGGCGCAGGGTCCCGCTTACGTTGTCCCCCCAGGAACTGGTCTCTTACCTCCAGGCCTCCACTGATACTGTTGCATTTTTTTTCTTTTTAAATAAGAAAAATCTACAAAATTTCTTACATGCCCCAGGCGTGGGAGTATTAGTGTGACTTGGCTCTGTCTGAGCCCAGGTTGGATATGCCTTATGTTTTTAGAAGCCCCCCAGCCCGCTGCCCTGGGCCGGATCCCCGCTGTCAGGGCCGCTGCTGGGACGCTGCTGTGCTGGAGCAGAGGAGGCATTGAGCTCCCGGCTCTGGGAAGGGCCTACACCCAAGGGCTAGGGGTTTCCTTTTGCTTTCCCCACCAGGTATCCGTGTGCACGTGCGCCCAGTCTCAGTCAGACTGGCCTGGCCCGGCCCCCGTGTGACCAAGGGGACAAGGGTCCCTGGAGAAGGGTCAGGGCGGGAGGGAGAAGGGACTTTTCACCTCTTTCCAAGATGACCCACTCCAAGATACTATGTGTAAATTGTGTTACTATGTATATGGGTAAAGTTGTACAAATATCCGTCCTCTTTGTAGCAGATATGAGTTTATATTTATAACGTGTGAACACGGCCTAGGTCCCCGGTGCACACGCAGCTGCTGGGGTGGTTTCTGGGCGCCCTCCCGGCCTGAGTCCCCTGGAGGGAGGATGGCTGGGCAGGCCCCAGTGTCAGGGTCCAGGTCGCAGTGAGTGTCACAGGGCCGTCCTCGGCCTCCCCCTCAGGCCAAGCCCTCACCTCCCGGAGTCCACGCTCATCTGGCCAGAAGCTGTGGCTGATTTGTCAGTCCCAAGGGCAGGGCTCCAGGTGTCCCTGTGGCTTGGGGCTCCTCTCAGTGACATTAGTGTCCCCTGCTGTCACTGTCACTCCACGTGGCTCAGGAGGTGACCCCCATCCGAATTTTGGTGTTTGGTGGCGATGTGGGGGCGGAGGCTCGCAGCGTCACCCTCTGGGAGCCCAGCGGTGCCCCATGGGCGACACCCTGAGCCCTGCCCATGCCCAGCAGGGCTCCCATCCTCCCGTTCCTTCCCCTCCACAGAGTGCGGCCCGGCCCCGTCGGCCAGCCTGCTAAAGATGGACACTTGTGGTCCCAAGTGGTGGTTTTATTTTTTTAGTTTTTATGTTTGTATGGGAGTTGTGGAGACCGTGAGTGAACTGTAAATAAATAGTGCGTTTCTTCCTCCACCTGCTGAATTTTCTCCTGTCACTGTGGGCTTGCAGGACCCAAACCGAAGGTATCTCCTCTTCTTGGGTTGGGTTGGGTTTGGTTTCCGACCCTTGTGGGTGTGGGGCCTGGCCTCCTAAAGACCAAAGCTTGGGGGTCGTCATCAGCGAACCCTGAGCTCTGTGGAAGGAAGCGTGGAGACCGAAGAACCGGGTCCATGCATGGTTCCTAGGGGCCGACAGTGCCTTCATGTGCCTGGGGGGGTGACAGGGTTTGTTCCTGGCTTGTTTCAGTGCTGGTCCGAAGCCCAGAGTCTTTCACACCCTCCCTGTTCACAGAGGAAGCTCAACCCAAGGCAAAGAAGGGCTGCGGCGGGCAGGCAGCGGGCAGGCCTCCCCAGGGCGTACCTGTTCATGTTTGCCACAAACCGTGCAGAACTGAGGTGTGGAGAACCAAGCCTGAGCATGACCCCAGCACTCTGGGAGGCCGAGGCAGGAGAATCATGCTTGAGCCCAGCCTTGGCAACTGAGTGGCTTAGAATTTAGACACTGGCCCGCCTTTGAGCTTCCTCATTAAGTCTTTGGGGGTGTTGGCTGCTGGTTTTTCTCGTGACTGTGCCCTCAGGAAGAGTAGTTTGACCGCATTTCCATCTATAAAGGGTAGATTGGAGTTGTTTCTCCACCCAGAACTCCTTGCTAGGATTCATTTGAGAGTGTTTCCTTGGATTCCATCTGGATTGAGTTCAGCTGCCTGTAACAGGAACAGAAGTCGGTGGACATACAGGATGGAAAGTGTTTCTCCCTCACCGAAACACCCGACAGTAGGCAGCCCGGGCGGTGTGGTGACTTGGTTGCAGAGTCCTCAGGAAGCGAGGCCCTTTCCGAGGCCTTCATGGTCAAGGTGGTGGCTCACATGCCGCTGTTGTTTTAGGTTTTTGGTGCTGGGATGGAACCCATGGCTTCCTGCACGCTGGGCATGGTGTTCACCACTACACCACTGAGCCGCAGTGGGAGCTCGACTCGAGCTGCTTTTGTGTCCACTTTCAAGCCACAGGGTAGATAACAGAGGGGACAAGCAAAAAGAAAGAGAGGAATGTGCCAGCTGTGTCGGGAAGCCCCCGGAGCCTCCCCATGATAGCTCCTCCTGCAACTCCCAGGAAGCTGGGGGCTCAGCGTGTTCCAAGGATCCCTAGGCCTGGCTGGAATCCCCATTCTGTTACAGTGGAGGAAGGGGAGCACACACGTAGGATTTGGCTAGAAACTCCTACCATAAGAATTCTCGGGGACCCCGCATGCACACACATTTGGCAACAGAGTCGGGCTTCCCCACGGCACAGGCAGGGAATCTGGCTCGGAAATTCAAGGGGCTTCACAGTTCACAGGAGAATGTAACTTGGGTCATAAAACACCAGCTCTCTTTCTGCTTGATTCTATTTGGACCCAGGTCATTAATTCCTCCTAAGGCTGAAAATAACTGAGCTAGTCTTTATTTTAAAATGCTGTTTTCATTTGTGCAGAACATCTTCTAAAATATGTCTGCACATGACTAGAAAATTGATGAAACCCTCCAAGCTGATCCTGGTACGTTCTGACTTAAGGTTTATCGAGTGCTTCTGCCATCTAAATCTCTAGTCCTACTTAGATAGGTCCTACCTTTGTTTTACGCAGCTCTGCAGGGACATTGCGTTTGTGTTTAGAAGAAAGAGCCACAGTCGACAGCACATAGCTTGGCTTGGGCTCTGCAGGTCGGGGTGGCTGTGCAGGCTGGAACTGAGCCTTCCCTGCCCCTCTCGGGGTCTCCAGTACTTACTGGTTGAAGATGGCTTTTGGAAGCTGCCACAGACACCAAGAGGTGAGTGTACAGTCAGGGTGAAAAAACTGAGAAACTCAGAATCAGAGCACTAAGTCCAGTGCCACAAGAACAAGACCTGAACTGAGCTAATTTCCCCGGGGAGGCGCAACATGCCTGCATGGGACACAGAACAAAGCCTGCTCCCTTATTCTGGCAACGGCTGCGACAGGGTTCTTGCAGTAAGGAGAAGCCCTTACAATGAATGAATGCACTGGCAAGTGTAAGTGACCTCACCCTGGGTTCCATGCGTCACTCGGGCAAATGGGTAGAACCCAAGAAAAGGGATGTGGGAAGCTCAGGTGATGATTTCACTCCGTCTGAAATGCAGGTGAAACACCAGGGCTGTGATGGGTGTGCACGTGGAGGCAGGGGTGACAGACTTGGGATCTGCATTCTCTACCCAGGGGATCTGATGTTAATTCCATGTTCTCATGGCATCATAATTGAATGGAATTAGAGAACACCAGCCGGTGCCCACTACCAAACTGCTCGCTGGCTTGGTGTGGGGGGAAAACCTGTACATATCTAGTGTCCGAAATGATGTGTTGAGACTGGGCGTGGTGGAGTGTATCTGTAATCCCACCACTCCAGAGGCTGAGGCAGGAGGATCTCTGCAGGTTTGAAGCCAACTTGGGATGATACATAGTGAGTTCAAGGCCAGCCTGAACTACATAGTGAGACTCTGTCTCAGAGAAAAGAAAAATTATCTATGTTGATTGCTGTCCAGTGAGAGTATCAGAGAAACAGTTGGTGGGTGTTTTGCTTGTTTGTTCAGTTTTTTCCTGTATAGATAGATACATTTATCAGTTTAGGGTTCTGTCTGTCTGTCTGTTTTTCTCACACTGAGGATTGAACCCTGGGCCTCTTACATGCTAGCCATTACTCTGCCACTGAGCTGCTGTATCCCCAGTCCTCACTGAGCTTCTTTTTTTGTTTTGTTTTATTGAGACAGGGTCTCACTATGTAGCCCAGGCTGGACTCGAACTTGAGGCAATCCTCCTGCCTCAGCCTCCCAAGGGCTGGGATTACGGGCGTGTGTCACCACACCCGCCCTCACTGAGGTTCTTAAATCTGGAATTTTTTTGTCTTTCTCCAATTTTGAAAATATTTTTAAACTGCTCCAGTCTCTTACCTCTTCCCTGGGACTCCAGGACCCATACACATGCACACTCACACAATTCATTGCTCTTACTGTGTGTGACCTATTCTATTGCATTCCTTTGCTTTTTAAATGCTAGTTAAAACTCAATACTTATAGTTAACCTGAGTTTGAAGCCCAAGGTGAGGCCATTCCCAGCTGTGATAAATTTAAGCACATTTGGACAAGCCTGAATAATAGATACTGTTGCTGTTCATGGGAGGCAGGTGAATGGGAATCATGGGAGAGGCCCCAGGTTCCAGTCCCGCCTGGGAATGGAGTCACAGCAGCCGTGGCTCTCAGAGCTCAGGGTTGCCCCAGTGAGTGTCCCCCTCACCCTTGCTCCCCTTCTTCCCCAACTCTGGACAAAAGCAGATGGAATTAGGGAGATTTGTGGGTTTTTTATAGTCCAACAATAGCCAACTCGGAGTGATATGATTCAATTATACATCAACTCATTCCTAAATTTATTTATTTATTGGTACTGGGGATCAAACTTGGGACCTTGAGCTTGCAAGGCAGGCAGTGGAACCACTGAGCTAAATCCCTGGCCCTTCTCATTCCTAAATTTTATATTAGATGCTTTATACTATGTATTGCAAAATAAATAACCTGAAGCCAGCTCTGCCGGCAGAGGAAAGCAAGGCAGCCGTTACTGAGGCCAATTCCCACTGCTGCCTTCCACTCCCTCTGCTTTCTCCTTCCTTTCCTCTCCCCCTTCTCCCTCCTTAATAAAATCAGATTGGTCATAAATACCTGAGCTGGACACGCATCCATAGTGAGCTAAAGGATGTAGATGCTTGAACAGCCGCAGCCCAGACTGATGTTAAGTGCTTCCAGAATGTCCTCCTTAATTACTGATCACAGACACCTCTGCACACAATAAACTTGATGACTCAAGAAGTGCTTCCACAATGCAGTAAACTTGATTAAATGCATCAGAAATACCTTGCAGCTCCATGCCCCAAGCCCTGTGTTTACATAAAACAGCATTTAATACACAAGCTGTCCAAAACAGATGGTCCCCTTTTCCCTGCTCGTCTACTTCTGGTTTTCTAAAACATTTTCATTTTAAAAATAAAGACATCTTGGGGCTGGGGATTTAGCTCAGTGCTTCTGCCACCTGCCTTGCAAGCACAAGGACCCGAGTTCAATCCCTGGTATGAAAAAAAAAAAAAAAGACATTTTTCCCTGATCCTTTTAACATAAGGTCTTACACTTTGGGGCTGGGGAGGAAGAGTCACTAATAGAATAAAGAAGTTTAAAAAAAAACAGTAGCTGTGGGCTGGGGATTTAGCTCAGTGATTTCACCACCTGCTGGGCAAGCGCAAGGACCCGAGTTCGATCCCCGGCACCAAAAACAAACAAAAAAACCCTAAGAGCCTTGGGATTCAGCTCTGTGGTAGAGCCCCTGGGTTCCATCCCTAGAATGTGAAGCCTCAGCCCCAGCCCCCCCCCCCCAGGCCTGGGTGCCCATCTGTGTGCTGCCTCCTCACCCCGGCCCTGGAAGCCAAAATGCATGGGACCCGAGATGAGAGAATCCTGAGGAGAAACAGAGGGTTTTGCTCAAGAAGCGGCGCCTCCAGACCCCTTCCTTTCTGCCCATCTCCCCTGACAACGAAGCGGCTTCCATCTCACCCTCACTGGACCTTGCCCAGGGAACCATGACTCGCATCAGCTGGCAGAGCTGTGCCAGGGGGCCAACCCTTGCTCACAGGGCCCTGTTGGGCTTGGTCTTTACAGACTCCATGTTGCTTGGTCAGAGGTTATAAAAAGGCTAAAATTGACTGGCGGGTTTCCATTTTATAACATTACCAAAGAGGGGAAGACGTCTTATTCTCTTGGTCAAGAGAGGTGCAGAGGAGGCTCTGGGTACTCACTGTGCGCCAGCACCGCTGTTCTACAGGAATGAACCAGCTGAGGCTCGGAACAGTCGAGGCACCTGCTCTCAGTCTCTCTAGAGAAGGGCCGAGCTCCAGAGTCCACACCACTGACCCCGTCCTGCAGCAGCTTGGGGTTCACCCTGGAGGTTAGTCTTCTTTCCCCCCTCTACTCCATGGAGGCAAAAAGAAAGGAAATGGGAGAGAGAGGCAGCCTCGTTACCATCATCTTAATTCGTTAACCTGAGCTGTAAAGTCTGGCGAGACTCCTGCTCCCCTCCCCATGGTTCCTGGAGAACAGCAAAGATGAAAGTAGCTGGAGCTCTCGGTGGCTTAACGCTTAACGAAGGCGTCAACCAACCGGCAGCAGCACAACAAGCAAATCCAGCCAGGCCTCTGCATCCCTGGTGCCCGCTGGGGAGTCCTCCACCTGAGGATTGAAAATACTCAAAACAATCCTTGTCTGTACCGAACACTGCAGATGTTTTTCTCCTTGTCATTGTCCTGAACAATATAGTGTAACAACTGTTTACAGGGAGTTTACACTGTGTCCGGTATTATACATAATCTAGAGGTGATTTAAACGTGTGGGAAAATATGCAAATTTTCTACCACTGTATACCGAGGTCTTGAGCAGGCTTGGATTGTTAGTTATATCCACGGGGTCCTGAACCAGCCCCCCCCCCCACACCAGGGGCCAACTCACTGTAAGAGGCAGACTGTTGTCTTGCTTCACTGAAATCGGGGGTTTGTACATCCAGCAGCTATTACTACCCTAACTGTCTGGAAAGGACACACCCAGCAACAACCCAGAGCCCCAGTGTGTTTCCACCTCCTTCCCCTTCTGGCTCCTCATTCCTCACAGCCACTGGACTGTGTTGAAGGTCCTGTGCTCCACGGTGTCTGGGCCGCAGCTGGCAAGATTCCGGTCTGAGGTGACTCGGTGTCACCTCCGACGTCTTCAACCCTGCGTCTGGGAGTCGATGCCACGTGTCAGCTGGGACCTGAGCCGGGGCTGTGGGCTCTTCCCATGCTCTGTCCACTGCCCTGTGATTACGGTTCCAGGAATGAGGATTCCCAAAAGGCCCCATGGAAGCCGTGGCTCTGTCGGTGGAGTCCCACAGCCACCTACGTGCAGGGGGAAGGCGGTGGGGAGTGGTGTGGTCACGTCCGGGAGCTCAGGGACAACAGGCCTTAGAAAGTGTAATCCGCCACACTTCCTTTTGGATTCCTTCCTCTTTCTAACGTTCCTCAGCTCTGTTTAGGTCGTATTAATCGGGGAATGTATATAATATGACACGTGCCAGCTCTGCAGACAACATGTCACTCTACTTTTCTGCATCTCCTCTCTCTTCCCCCTCCATTTTCCCTCCTTTATTTTGTTTTTGTTTTGAGATGGGGGTCTCACTGTGTAGCTCAAGCTGGCCTTGAACTCCAGATCCTCTTGCCTCAGCCTCCTGTGATTACAGACTTGCACCATTGCATCTAGCTTTTTTCCCACCTTTTGAGACAGGAACATGACAGGGTTTCTCAACCTCGGCATTACTGCCATTTTGGACTAGATAACCATTGATGTGGGGCTGACAGTGATTTGTGGGATCTTTAGCAGCATCCCTGGCCTCTGCTCATTGGATGCCTGTAGCACCCCTGCCCCAGTCACAACAATCACAAACGACCCCAGACATTGCCCAATGTCCTTCAGGGTGCAAATCACCTCTAAATGAAAACCACTGCTATTAGGGAACACATACAGGAGATGGAGTTAATAAAATCCCCCAATCTTAGCAGGCAGTGGTCTTCAAACTGTTTAGAGCATAGTCTTAAAGCCAGGTTTGAACATGCAGTCCAATATATACATACTTACTTATTCATATAAAATATAAATGTCCTCTGGTGTTCTTTTATATATTATAAAATAATCACAAAAGTGGATTCTTTGGTGGTACTGAAGACTGAACCCAGGGACTTTGCCTGAGCTACTTAAAAGGTAGGATAAAAATCTAATGAAACATCCTGATATGTGCTTTCCACAAAAAATGCGGGCTCCTGTGCACTCCTGAGAATGGCCACCCCTCCTGCTAGATGGAAAGGAGTGTAGTCCATGGCTGGACGACCCAGGCTCACCGCCTGGCCTCCAGTTTCCAGCACTGCCATTCGCCAGTTCATGAATGGAAAACAAGACACAGCCCTCAAGGGGCCCACAGCAGCGAGGCTTTGGGAACCCCGTAGTCTTAGCTTTCTCATAGGTAATACTGGAGTATCTTGCGGGGTAGCAGTGAGGGCTCAGTAAGGTGATATACAAAAAGCCTATGACCAGCACCCAAAGTGGCATCCCTCATTAATGGCAGGGCTCCTCACCACTGCAGAGGTGGGAAAGAACCCTACCGTGTATCTGTAAGGGACGGGTGGAGTGAGGCTGGTACAGCCGCACTGTGGAGGAATCCATGATATGTGTGTCCTGCTGCGGAGTAGCCTCAGGATGTACTGTTAAATAAAATAAGGGAGCAGGCATGGGGCTGGACTGAATGGGTGAGCCTCAGAGATTTTTTTTTTTGAGACAGGGTCTTGTTGTGCAGTCCAGTCTGGACTTGAACTCGGTGAGTAGCTTAGGTTGGCCGCTAATTTGCAGTCCTTTTGCCTCAGCCTCTCAACTGCTGGAATTACAGGTGTGCATCACTACATCCAGGTGTGGAGGATTTTTTTAGGGCAGTGGTGTATACACCATTACAGACCTCTGTAATATTATAATGGTGTATGCATGGCAACACTATGTATTTATCAAAAACCCATAGATTTGTTTATTCATTTTTAAATACTAGGAATCGAACCCAGAGCCTTTACAATAAAAGGAGCTGGAACTCCTTGGAATAATGGCCGATGCTGGGTCTAGAGCAGTTTGTGCCAGACAGTGAGGAAATGCTCAATAAAACACAAGGATGGGACTATTTCAAAGGGGTACTGTAGCCAACAAGGGCTCTCACTGGCCAAATTAGGAACAAATTGAGTAACAAAATAAATCAGTGCTGAATTATCACCTAGAGTATAAAACAAGTATCCATGGGTCTCTACTGATACGATTAAATGAACAAAGGGTGAAAAAGAGACAAACCTTTTGTGCAGAAAATTCCAAACAGTTTATGTAGACACCCTGCTCCTAACTCACTCTTTAAGCACAAGTTCCCAATACTGACTTCTTCCAAAGAGTACCTTATGGAAAAGGAGAAAAAAGAGAAAGTTTATAGTGGGGAAACCTGCCTAGCACCACCTTCTCCTGGACCCAGTTTAGCATCTATTGTGCTGGTAGCAAACTGTATTTACCTCGGTGATCTTTCTACTCAAGACCTATGGCTCTCATCTAACTCTGAGAAAGACATCAGACAAATCCCAGTTGAGGATTCTACAAAATACCTGGCCAGTGCAAGGTCATCTGAAAGAAGGACAGTCTGAGAATGTGTCACCCCAGAGAGAAGCCCAAGGAGATTAAATGTGTGCATGGTCTCCATGTGCTTGAAAAGTAGGATGGTCTCTGGGTGCATCATTGGTTCCTGGGACAGGAGCTGAGGTGAGAGCCACGAACGGTTTAGGAAAGCATCGCCCTGACTGCCACCGTGATGCCCACCGATTTTCCTGACCCTCGGTGAGGTCTCAAGCTGCAGTTCTTTGTCCAACAAGGCCACACAGGTTAGACATTCCAGGCTGGGGTCACAGCCATGGTTAGGAAATCAGGCTTTGGAAACAGACCCAAATTGGCGCCCTACTCTATCATGTATAAAGAATCTTTTGTCAAGGTTTTTTTTTTTTTGGTACCAGGGATCGAACTCCTGTCCATGTACTTTCGAGGCAGGAGGTGGAACCACTCAGCTAAATCCCTGGCCCTTACTAAGAATTTTTTTGAAAGATTCTTAAACTTCCCTGTGTCTCTTTTATCATTGTTCTAGTTATTTTTCTCATTGCTGAGACAAAATACCCAATACCCAAAGCTAAAGGAGGAAAGGTTTATTTTGGTTCAGTTTGTAGAAGTTTCAGTCCACAGTTGGCTGGCTCCAAAGGAGGGCAGCATGGCAGAGGGATGTGGCAGAGGAGAAACAGTCCATGGCAGGGATGGCAGGAAGCAGCAAAGCTGAAGCAGCAGCAAGCTTCCCTTTATATTCTATTGGGCTACACCACACCCAGGGTGGGGCCTTCCTATTATCCACACCCAGAACTATGCTAAGTGAATTAATTCAGTACCACACACTCTTAATCCCAGTATCACACACCCTAGATCCAGCCACCTATGAGCACATGAGGCTTTGGGGGGGAACATCTAGATATAAACCCTACAGCAGGAATTGTCATTCTAACCATCATCATCATCATATTGTTCACGAAGAACACGTAAGATAGAGTAAGTAAAGTGCTTGGCCTAGTATGTAGCAGTTAGATCTCAATAAATAGTAGCCATTTATTATTATACATCAGATGATTTATTACTATATTGATATACTATATTTTCTCCTCACAGAATTTAGTTTCAGAAAATTGTTCACCAGGTATTGAAAAAGACAAAAGTCAGCACTGAGCTATCAGAGATAATCATTGCATATAGAAGCTATCACATGATACCAGAGAATCCAAAGAGGTTGAGCATTTTTTTTTTCTGGTACCCGGAACTCAGGACCTTGCCCTTGCCAGGCAGGCAGGGCGCCACTGAGCTACATTCCTGGCCCAGTTAAGCTTTTTTTTTTTTTTTGGTACCAGTGATCAAACTCAGGACCTTTCGCTTGTGAGGCAGGTGGTGGTACCACTCAGCTAAATCCCCAGCTGAGCTTTTTTAAAAAATTTAAAAAGAGTAACAGCTTTATTGCGGATCCCTTACATACTACAGAATTCACTTTTTGGAAGTGTGCACTTCGATGACTTTTAGTGAGCTTACACAGTTGTGCAATCAGCACCACAATCCACTTTTAGGACATTTCTGTCGCCCTCCCCCCAAATTCCTTCAAGCCGGTTGGCACTCGGTCCCCATTCCCACCCCTAGCTCCAGGTAACTGCGCTTTCTGTCTCTATAAGTTTGGCTACTGTAACTTTTTAATATTTAGCAACAAAAGAAGTTTGTGCAACATAGATGTTACCTATGAAGTCACTGAACAGACTTTAAAATTATCACAAGTTATTTAAAAGTAGGCTGAGCCTGCGTAGTGGCGCAGAACTGTAATTCCAGGGTTTGTGGGAGGCTGAGGCAGGACTGCAAGTTCGAGCCCAACCTGGGCCACTTAACGACTTTGTGAGACTGTCACTCAATGAAAAACAAAGAGTTGGGCCCGGGGATTTAGCTCAGTGGCACCCCCGCCTACCTCACAAGTGCAAGGTCCTGAATTCGATCCCCAGTACCAGAAACAAAACAAAACAAAAAACCAAAAAGAGTTGCGGATGTCGCTCTGCGTGAAGGCCCTGGGTTCAATTACCAGTATCATAAAAGGAAGGAAGGAGAGAGAAAGAAAAGAAGGAAAGAAAAAGAGGAAGAAGAAGGGGAAAAGGCGAGCTTCCACCCACGGCGGCTGGACGGGCGGTGCGCTGGGACGCGGCGGGCAAGGCGTGGCCCGAGGGCTAGCATTTGAGCCACGCCCACCGCCTCTTATCCTCTCCGCCCTCCACGGTCTTCCTGTCGCGCAGGCGCAGTGCTCCGCTCCTGTCCGAGAGACGCTGGCGTCGACGCGCGCCGGTGGCGATTGCTTCTGTCTGTTGTTTAGCTATGGCGCGGCGGGCGAGCGAGCCCCGGGGCGGCTGGACCTCGGCTCGGCGTCTCGCACGTTGACCGACCGCCACCCTGGGTCGAGGGGGCCATGGGGGAGCCTGGTTCCCTGGACTCGGGAGACCCCGCCGGTGTCCGGAGCTGGTGCCTGCGGCGGGTGGGGATGGACGCCGAGTGGCTGCTGCTGGAGGACGGGCGCGAGGTGAGGCGCGGTCCTGACGGAGAGGCCGCGGCGGGGTCGTGGGGTCCGGGGAGAAGGGGTCTGAGGTGGGAGTGCTGCGCGGGGCCGGGGGGAGGGAGAAAGTGGGGTTCGGCCTGGGGAGGCCCCTGGGACGGCGGCTGGAAGATGGCTCCTCCAGCGACTGGGGGGCCGTGCGGACCCCTGGGGGCCCCCCCAGGCGGGGAAACTGAGGCAGCGCCGCCCTGGCCAACCCCGAGGGCCTGCGGCGGAGGCGGCGTTAACTTTCTGCCGCTTCTTTTGAAAACAATGGCTTGTTTAGGGTCCTGACCCTTAACGTGGGCGAACTTTCATGTCCAAACGTCTTGCCCCTTTCGATCTCAGAGGACAGTGGGCGCATTGGAATGATGGGCCCTGGTGGCGAAGGGGCAAGTGGCACCCGTGAGATGAGACAGATAACGATTCAGTGTACACCCCTGAGGCTGCGATCATGTTTGATACTGCAGTCAGATATGCAAATTTCAAAAAAAGTAGAGAGGAGGGGTGAGGCATGGTTCTTGGGGAGGGGGGGTGGCTGCTAGAACTAAGTGCTGTTAGAGAAGCTGGGGGGACGCGGGGTGCTCCGAGTGGGGATGATTGCAGTCAGCTTGGGAAGCCCACTGGGTCAGGGACAAGCTTGTGGCGCTGACCATTTGGGATTTGGATTTGTTTGAAAACTTCACATTGCTGTAATGCTGAGTGATTGTTACTATGTTGCAAATGTTAAGAGTATTTTGATTATTGTGTATTTTTAGTGAGATTTTTCTTATCTTGCAGTCTTAATTTGGTCCCCCATTTGAATAGTTAGGTAGTCTGGTGAACTTTTGGGAGGGACAAATAGTAACTTCTGCATTCAAAGAGTTTATAGCTTGAATGAGGAAAGAACTTACACAGTGAACCAGTCTGAGGCCATCTGAGTTGTGCTGAATGATTAGGTGCCAAGATGTGATTTATTGAGTATTCTAGAGCAGTGGTTCCTCTGGTCTAGAAGTAAATGTTGCAAAGCTGGGTTATACAAGGTTACCTATTTTCCTGTATAACTTACTTTAATTAAGTAATGTTGCTTAATGTATCTTCAGATGTTTTATTACACTCACAATACCTGTGGCAACTTAGTCAAGTATTAACTTACTCTTTTAGACTCCTTTCTATGCATTAACTTAATTCTCCTGAAAAACTGGCGGACTCTGGAGTTTTGGACAAAGGAGAGGCTGGTGAGAGATAATTAAAGCACCTTGTAATAAGGACAAGACTATAAAGCAGTCCTAGAAATGTTCTAAATTACTTGATAGATTTGTGTGAGACCCCTTCTGTGGGAGAGACTTGTACAAATGAAGTGAATGTAAAGACCTACTGGGAAGACTATGGCCTGCTTCTGGGACTTGTGTGAAGGAGAAGCCTGCCAGGCCTGGCTGTCTGCAAGGTCCGACTTAGGCAGTAGTTGGAGCACAGCCTGCAGTGCGTATGAAGAGAGTGCGAATCAGAACCAAGATGAAATCTTATTGTAATGATTCTCAAACCACAGCACTACTGGATTTCCACAAGATGTTAGGAGGTGTGCTGATAGCATTTAATTATGATGACAATGTCAAGTCAGTTCAGTCTTTCCTGTTGCCTTCAAAGTCTCAGATTTTGCAGATAAAATTTATTGAAGGGAGTACTGTAGTAACCTGTCTGAATGGGTATCTTTAAACTTCTTAAACATGGCCAGATAGTTTTGTATAAAGAATAAATAAATAGGACAAATTAGCTTGTTCCCAGGCTCTGCAAGTGTTTTGGGGTAAGCCATATCTTCTTCTTTGTCTTTGTTTTCTTCTCTTGTACAATATTTGGTTTTCATGAAGCTTTCTGCCCTAAGGGGATTGGAAAAAGGGAAAGGATGGTTCCGGGTTATCTACTGGTCATCTGGGAAATAGTAGGAGTTGTTCCCAGGAGGAAGGGGATAGCATTAGTGAAGGTGAACAAGAACAAGGTGGTCTTCTAGATGGATTACATCAGTACCTCAAAGGCTTGCAGAACTGTTGTAAATGGAAACAACTCCTTCCATGTGGTTTGGTGTGAGTTGGTTATTTAGTTCCCTTGGGAAATTAAATTTTTTGTTAAAAGTAGTGCCAAGATTCCCAATAAGGAGCACATTATACTCTTAAAATGTAGTGCATTGAAATGTCAGTAATATCAATGTAAAAATTTGGGTCCAGACAGGGAAGGATGAAGAAGAATGTTTCCTTCTTTTTCTTCATTCACAGCCTGTAGAGACAATTTCAGAAAAAGGCAGTTGAATACTTCTTCTGTACTTTTTTTTTTTTTTTTTGGTACCAGGGATTGAACTCGGGACCTTGCACTTGCAGGGCAGGTGCCGGAACCACTGAACTAAATCCCCGGCCCTCTTCTGTACTGTTATCCCTATTGGCAGTCTGGCTGTTTCTTCAAGTATTAAAGTGTAATATAGAATACTGTACTTTGGTTTTAGAAGAAAAGCTACCAAGCTAGTTGTGCGGTATGTAACCCCAGCACTTTGGAGCCTCAGGTGGAATTGCTTTGAGTTGGAGGCCAGCCTGAGCTCCATAGTGAGTTCAGGGCCAGTCTGGACTGTGTAATAAGACTCTGTCTCAGACAGACAAAAACAAAACGAAATTCCCGAATTGGAAATTCTTACTGAATATGGATGACAGAATCCTGAACACACACACCCCCCACCACCACCGTGGAGAGCTAACCCAGGGATTCACCTATGCTCTGCAAGTATTTTACCATTAAGCTTTATACCTCAAGCCGTAAACATTGCATTTTAAAGGCTGTACGTATTAATTTAGAGGAACTTCTATAATTAATGGAATTTCTGATGAACTATCAAATAATTGAAAAATTACAGATTCAAGAATTTTGGTGGAGATAGTTATCACAACATTTTATTTTTTAAAATTTTTAAATTTGTTTTGGTACCAGGGATTGAACTCAGGTCCTTGCGCTTGCGCAGCAGGCGGCGAAACCACTGAGCTAAATCCCTGGCCCTATCACAACATTTTAAAGGGAAACAAGTTAGACTGTAAGAGTTCCTATTTTTCTTCGGTTTTCCAGTGGTAATTAGTAATCCAGTTTCCAACTTCTGACCAAAAAAAAAAACCCACACACATACAACCCAATATCCATCTAGAATCTGGGAGGACCTGTTTTTAAGATCTCTTTATTCTTCCATTCATTCACAGATATTTGGTGAGCACTGTGCCAGGTACAGAAACACAGTGGTAAAAAAAGAGGGACAGGGCTAGAGATTTAGCTCAGTGGTGCTGCTGCCTGCCTCGCAAGCGCAAGGTCCTGAGTTCGATCTCCGGTACCAATAAAGAAAGAAAGAAGGAAAGAAGGAAAAAATGAAGGAAGGAAAGAAAGAAAGAAAGAGAAAGAAAGGGAGAGAGAAAGAAAGAGGGACAGCTGGGCTGGGTCACACACACCTGTAATCCCCTGAGGCAGGAGAATCACCATGAGTTTGAGGCCAGGCTGGACTCCGTAGGGAGTTCAAAGCCAGCCCGAACTACATAGTGAGACCCTGTCTCAAAAGAAAAAAAAAAAAAAGAAAGAAAAGGGGGACAAAGTCCTTGCTTGTAAAGTTTATATTTTAATAAGGGCAGAATAAGTAAAACAAGTGAGATAATTTTTGTCCTCCCTCCCTTCCCAGTGCTAGGAATTGAACCCGAGGCTTTGCACATGCTTGCAGCTCTACCCCTTAGCTACATTCCCCATCCAAGCAAGATAAGTTTGAATTGTGATAAATGCGCACTGTAGTAACATGGAGAAATGGGGGTAAGCAGGCAGCAGCTTCGGGTACGGGTAATCGATGTAGGCTGCTGAGGAGAGGAGGGTTTTAATCGGAAGGAACAGGTTACTGGAACTTGAATAGAGGAGGCTAAGGAACAAAAAGCTTGTGTGGCTGGAACAGCTTCTGTTGGCAGCCTGGTGTAAGAGGAGGGGTCAGGGTATCCAGGGCCTTCTAGGCCATGGGAAGAAGTTTGGATCATGGGAAAGTTTTAAAGAAGGGAAATGATCTGATTCAGAGTTTTAATATTGCTATTCCCGCTGCTATTCTACATGAAGAATAAAGTTTAGAGGGGCTAGAACAGGAGCACAGACAGCAGGAGACCAGGAAGTTTGTCTAAGGTAGTGTCTATAGCGATGGAGGAAATAGATTTAGAACAGGTATGAATTACAGCCAGTAGAATTGCTAATGATTTAAATGTGGGAGGGAGGGACAGAAGATCTTAGGCCGAACGTTTGGTTGGGTGGCAGTGTTAGTTACTGAGACGGGAGAGTTTTGTGAAGAATGAATAGATCACAAAGAGACAGGTAGTCTTTAAGAGACTGAAGACAGGCATGATTCTGAAAGATTTTTAAAAGGAACAAAGGGCAGTTTTTAGAAAAACCCCCACAAACTTTAATGTTCCCAGGTAAGTTTGAAGGGATAGCTTGTGCACTGAAAATAATAAGACCTAGGGCCAGGGATTTAGCTCAGTGGTTCTGCCACCTGCCTCGCAAGCGCAAGGATCTGAGTTTGATCCCCGGTCCCAAAAAAAAA